CCTATTGAAGCAAAAAAAAAGTAACTGTGTTAGGTATCTATCTTAAAAAACTATATGAGACCTAAACACCTCAAATCAAACTTCTCACTCATACCTAAGTTTAGCCTAACTTTCACCTTACAGATTACGTTGCATGTAAGTCCAGCCTCATTTTTACCTGAAAGATTAACTTGTATATTTTAATTTTAATGGAATTCCTGGAAATTAAAATGTGCATGATTTCCTGAGCTAGACTTGTTTTGGGCAGAAATTGAATGATATGTGCCTATTCAGTTTTAAGCACATTGGCCCTAATATAATTAAATTTGAAAAATTACATGTTACATTCATTTTTTTTCTTTCTGATAACAGAGCCCCTGGAGCTGAGTCCTAACACCACTGACATGAAAGGCTCAGATAATTCTGTCACTGCCACAACGAAAGATGTCAAAGATAAAATGAAAGACATCAATGAAAACTGCCTGCAGAAGCCAATCGACTCGGCTTGTCAGACAGCACAATCAACAACAGGGAGTGACAGTAGCAGCTTTGAGGAAGAGGAATCATCCCGGGCTTTTGTCAGGAAGCAGAAGGTGAAAATGTGGGACCTTGTGTTTACTATGTGTGGGACCTTGTGTTTACTTTGTGTGGGACCTTGTGTTTACTTTGTGTGGGACCTTGTGTTTACTTTGTGTGGACCTTGTGTTTACTTTGTGAGGACCTTGTGTTTACTCGGTGTGGGACCTTGTGTTTACTTTGTGTGGGACCTTGTGTTTACTTTGTGTGGACTTTGTGTTTACTCTGTGTGGGACCTTGTGTTTACTCTGTGTGGACCTTGTGTTTACTTTGTGTGGGACCTTGTATTTACTTTGTGTGGGACCTTGTGTTTACTTTGTGTGGGGCCTTGTGTTAACTTTGTGTGGGACCTTGTGTTTACTTTGTGTGGGACCTTGTGTTTACTCTGCATGGGACCTTGTGTTTACTCTGTGTGGGACCTTGTGTTTACTTTGTGTGGGACCTTGTGTTTACTTTGTGTGGGACCTTGTGTTTACTTTGTGTGGACCTTGTGTTTACTTTGTGAGGACCTTGTGTTTACTCGGTGTGGGACCTTGTGTTTACTTTGTGTGGGACCTTGTGTTTACTTTGTGTGGACTTTGTGTTTACTCTGTGTGGGACCTTGTGTTTACTCTGTGTGGACCTTGTGTTTACTTTGTGTGGACCTTGTGTTTACTTTGTGTGGGACCTTGTGTTTACTTTGTGTGGGACCTTGTGTTTACTTTGTGTGGGACCTTGTGTTTACTTTGTGTGGGACCTTGTGTTAACTTTGTGTGGGACCTTGTGTTTACTTTGTGTGGGACCTTGTGTTTACTCTGCATGGGACCTTGTGTTTACTTTGTGAGGACCTTGTGTTTACTTTGTGTGGGACCTTGTGTTTACTCTGCATGGGACCTTGTGTTTACTTTGTTTAGAGAAAGGTTAGTTAATTATCATAAAGGTTCAGGACCACAGCTATTGCTCAAATTACGACTCTTTTTAAACTAATGCAATTTTTATGTGACTTGAATTCTTTTCCAAGGGATCAATGTTTAAGAGCTGTACATGTGATCTAAAAACAGCCACACCTTTCAAAAATAGTTTTTAAGTTCCAGATTTATTGTTTGCAACTGGTTAGACCACAACTCTTTTTATTTTATTATGTGACAATCCATTTTTAGTCGCACACCATGTTTGGTCTTTGATATTTTTACTCAGGGTTTACTCCAACACCCAACTGTAATCTCCTGCTGGTTTCTGTTAGAAAAACATTAAAGTCACTTGTTAAAAACTTGTTTTATATTTTAACAACAGGGTTTAACACTTACTGACGTTGTTAGTGGCCTAGATCGATTCCTCCAAGAGGTGGAGCTATGGGCAGTATGTCATCAGTGTTTAGTAGCTCTTCAAAATAAAGGGAAACATTTGCGTAAGTTTGTGAGATGCGTGCGATGACTCTTCCATGAACATGATTTAATTACATGTTATATTCTGATGATTTTAAATCAAATATATCGAATATTAGCCACTAAATAATTGATTCATTACATACATTTTTGTGCTGCTTTAATCATTTAGAGCAGGGATTTTAAATGCAGTGATTATTATTAATGTTTTTAAACAACAATTTTAATATAGAATTTTAAATAATAGTTAAAATTTGTTGAATGATATTTTTTAAAATCTTCGAAAACTTTGATTTCAGTGATGAAATTTAATGGGGTTGTTGTTGGCATTTTGTGTTAAGGAAGGCAGTGACCTACATTAACATTTGAATCATTCTTGTTACAGCCGCTTACATCTCCCCTGATACGATATCACTTCGTGGATCTGGTGCCGTCAGTTTCAAACCAATCCCTGAAGACAAACCTCTGGAAATGATTTACATAGCTCCAGAACTTCAACAAAAGGGAAAACTTAATGACAAAGTGGGTTCAAAATACAGTCATCGATATCAATGATAAATACTGACATAAAACAGTGAATTAATTTAATTATAGAAAAAATGAGTGATTACACTCAGAATTGTGTTAAAACAATAAAGGACTGCCTGCGCAAAGTCTTAAATGTGTAATTCTCAACTCTCTATTAGCTCTTTTATGATTCTAAATTATTTATAAAATCATTATTATCAATTAAGCTATTAAAATGTTCTGGCCTCATCCACCGTATGCAGACCTGCTTGTACGGTCTCGGAAAGAGTTTACAAACAGCTGGTGGCTGCAAGTATTCATCCACACTCTCTGTGCAAGGTGGTGAAGCTCTTGAGATCTTGGTGCAAGCGTTCATACAAACGAGCCCTGACTTAAGGACAAACTTAGAGACAGCATTTGAAGTGAGACATTCTAATTACTTTGTCATAGCACTGATAATATTTTAATTTCTTTTAATTTAGCTACAGATTAAACTTTAAAACTTGAAGTAGGATAAACCTAATTGTTTAATTGTTGTTGAATAGTGAGCTGCTAATAACAACCCAAAAATTGTTTAATGAAAAGTTTTCAGAAAAATATTCGCTTTTTGCAATCATATCCAACTAACCATCTCAAAACTGTTCATGTTAAAACTTTGGAAAGTAAAGTCATCCATTTAGGAATAGTGCATCACATCAGTGTGATTTCTGGGGAAAATGGGATTCTGGGAAAATAAACTACAACAAATCAGAAACCAGTCCCCAAAATGAGGGCAAATAAAGCTTGTCAAGAATGCAAGAACTTTTGCACTTCCCACATCTGTTACAGTATGTCACTTAGTATATAAAGATATGCATTCATAAGTAGGTGAAAAAGTACTTTTTAAAAGCAACCTGACTTTCTCTTTTGTCTCTACAGATGTGTGAAGAATATTATAAAGTGAATGAAACTAGTTTTATTGCTGTGTGTCGAAATCTTTACCAGGAAGCCAGCAACAAATTTGTAGGTTAATTTTCATCTTCAAAAAATTTTTAATCTGATAATTACTCATTCATTTAGTTAATATAGAGAATGTTTAACTATGTTAGAGAAGGTTTAAATATGTTAGAGAAGGTTTAACTATGTTAAAGAAGGTTTAACTTTGTTAGAGAAGGTTTAACTATTTGATTTATTATTGTTCTAAGTCAAAGTATGATAAGTGGTGTAGAAAAGGCTAGTGCCACCTGAGGCTAGTTCCAACCGAGGCTAGTGCCACCTGAGGCTAGTGCCACCCTTGGCTAGTGCCACCCAAGGCTAGTGCCACCCTTGGCTAGTGCCACCCGAGGCTAGTGCCACCCCAGGCTAGTGCCACCCAAGGCTAGTGCCACCAGAGGCTAGCGCCACCCGAGGCTAGTGCCCCTCGAGGCTAGTGCCACCTGCAGCTAGTGCCACTCGAGGCTAGTGCCACCCAAGGCTAGTGCCACCCGAGGCTAGTGCCACCCGAGGATAGTGCCACTTGGGGCTAGTGCTACCTGCGGCTTGTGCCACCTGAGGCTAGTACCACCGAGGCTAGTGCCACCTGAGACTAGTGTCACACTTGGCTAGTGCCACCCGAGGCTAGTGCCACCCAAGGCTAGTGCCGCCCGGGGCAAAAAAACTTGTTTGCCATCCCCCTTCCACAAAAACTAACTCTGCAGTAGGCCTAAAATGCCACCTTTCCAGATAAAAAAAAAAGCACCAGCCTGTGTGTACCTCCCCTTCCCACCACTAAAAATAATCCATTCCCTTTCCATCAACAATAGCTGCTTTGAAACCTGATAATTAATCTTTCTGTTTAATCATTACTAAGATATAAATTAACATTTTATATGCCTAATTAAAATGTTAATATATTTTAAATTTACCACACATACTTGTGTCTATGTAGAGAAATTTTTGCTGTAAACTTGATTTTAAAATGAACGATTGACTTATCCTCTGGTCATTGCTAGGTTCTACAGAATTTCATACACTGAATGTGGGGCAATGTCAAGTTACCATTAATGCTAGTGTATTTATCAGCAACTGTATGTTGAGCCAGATACCAAGTACACACACATGGAGATTTAGATACACTCATCTGGTGCAATAAGTCTGGAGTTATTCATACACCAACCATAGTTTGGTATGCAATGCAGTGATTGCGGCTAGATACAAAAATTAAAGAATTTTAAAAGCCCAGGTTTGACCGCCAACTTATCCATGAGTCATAGCATATTTCATAATTTTTGGTCAAAAAACTGCCTTTGACTTATAGATGATTATATACAGTAACTCTTCCAAACTAAGTATCGTGTTTTAAAATATTTTCAGAATCCAGTAATTCTTCCAACACACCAAACTGATGTCAGCCAGCCGGCTAGTTTTGACAAGATGTCAGTACCTGGAAAGGACGCTCAACACAAAACCAATGATGTCTCCCAAAGTATTTCATTGTTTAAACCAGTTTCTGGGGGTGGAGCTTTCAAACCCATTCTTCCAAAACCTATCCCTAGAAAGGGTCAGCCGAACATGCCCACCGCCTTCATATCACCAGCAACGCATTTCAAACCTATCGTTGTTGAAAAGACTCATTCAGATTCTAGGGACTTAAATCTGTCCAGTGAAAAGTTCCAAGGAGTCGGCGAGGAAACAAATGTTGTTACAAAATTAAAAGAAATAAAAGACAACCTCTTGAAACGTCACCACTCAGAGGCTTACAAAGCTGGACTGCAGCAAGAGCTTGGACACGCAGGGGCAGGCTCTAGTCAGCAGTCTTCACAACCAACATCTGCTCCAGTGATTGGAACTGATTTATCTCAAGAGCAGCTGCCAAACGCTGACCTCCTGGTTTCTGCGATCGCCCAGTATTTGAAAAGTCAACTAATGAAAACACCTGACCAGCAGGCCAATGAACAGAAAGATATTAGCCACGCAGCACATGCTTCAGATTCTGGGTCAAACAGTAAATATGTGGCACACATGTCATCCCAACCAGCTGGATCACATTCAGTACAAGACCACAGTTATTTGACTTGGCAATCACCTTCCAACACACACCCAAATTTTAACCCTGCAACTCTGGCTCCTAGGACCACAAATTCAGTTCCTTTCCATCTACCAGAGCATTCAGACATATATGCTCAAAGAACTATACCAGAACTGGGAAACAATAGTGCCCCGACTCTAAATCTATCAGCTCATTCACTCACTTCAAATGTCCCATTCTCTACCTCAAACCATTCTGCTGCTGCTGGTGGATATCCTGTGCCATATTCAAGTATAAATACAGCTAAATTCAAAGGACCATTTCCATTTTATCAAGACTCCAGCTCTGGTATGATGATGCCATATCCCTATCCTCATTCAGGTCAAGGACAAACTTTTGTGCCAAATTTTCCTGTTAACATGGGAGACAACTATGCATCCAGTGGTCACCATTTTAATCAAGGCCAATTACAGACATCTCCTAATTATTTACCTCATATGCATTACTCCAGAAGTGGGACACAAACTTTCCCCAGCACTCCTCAGTCCGGCAGACATCAGATGAGAGACTGTGACGTCTGGAATCAAAGCTCAGAATTTCCTCACCAGCAGAAGCATCAAAGACACAGACATCACGGATCCCATCATCGTAGCGGTCAATCAGATAGGGAGGCCAGCATCTCTCATTCATCAACACCTTCCCCTTCTAAAGACTCTGGCATTTTTCTGTCAAACCTTCCTTACAATAAGGACAATATATTGGAGAAGTTATTAAAATCCCAGAGGTCACACAAACAGGAAATAATTTATCATGTCCTTGGCATCATTCGAGATCACTTTGCAGAGGATGGAATGACGGAAACTGGTTTTGATGATTTTGCTATTGGTAAGATAGATAACCCTTGTGAGATAACTATTTATTTCATAATATTGATTTTTTTCAAGAAGCTTTGATTTGGTCTTTTTTTAATAAATTGAAAGATTGTGTTTAAGTCGTGTGAAGGAAATAGTAGAACAAGGTGTGTGGAAGCTTGAATAGAAAGTCTGAATAATAAAATTAAGATAATGATGTTTTTGCGAAGAGCCTCCCTGAGCAAAGCTCTAGACATGAAGTATGCAAATGTAGGCTTAAAGCAGGGTTGATGTTTGAAAGAAGTGGAAGAAATCAAAGTGAAATGACTTCTTTTGCTAAAAAATCCTATTCTGAAATACTAATTTATAAATAGATGAATATATTATTGACTCTTTCTCAAATATAAATAACTTCTTTTTTTACATATTGAAAACATGTAATTGAAAAATATGCAGACAAACATTGCCATAAAAGTTTTATTGGCAGTTCCATCATTAAAATGAAGCACTCTCCCTTGGATCACTTAATGGTCTAATTATCAAACTAATTTTCAAGTAAAAATAAAATGTATTTTCTGAGTATCAATGGAAAATAGTATTGGATCTTGTGTAATGCATTTAATCATCTGCAACATTTTCCTACCTTCACATCGCATACAAAAACTCATCTAAAAATAATGCCATTTAGGCAGGAACATTTTTCAGTTCATCTACAATGTAATGCTACTATCTTCCTGATAATGCCACTCATTTTACTTATTATGCCATACCCCTCTTCATAATATCACCCACCTCCTCATAATGATAATACTTCCCCATAATGCCACTTACCTCCTTATAATACCACACTGCAGTTGACATATTGAAAAGTAGAATTTTATACTGTTAATCCAATGGTTGATCCAATGGATGATCAAGTGGTTAAATAGTGAAGTCCAAAAAATTAAAGAAATCCTTTCAAACTGTTGATGTAAAAAAGAAAATGTTTTTAAAAACAATTTTTATCATTAAATGACATATCACTCTTCTAGTTCTAGAAACTTTACTTGTCCTTTGATAACTTAACTTACTCTTTGATAAATGTATTCAACTTTTGATAGCTTAACTTACTATTTGATAAATGTATTTAACCTTTAATAACTTACTCTTTGATAACTTTACTTACCCTTTGATAACTTAACATATTCTTTGATAACTTACTCTTTGCTAACTTAACTTTACTTACCCTTTGATAACTTAACATATTCTTTGATAACTTACTCTTTGCTAGCTTAACTTACCCTTTGATAACTTATGCTCAAATAAGACCATACATATTTTTTTTTCTGTTTTCTCATTACAGCTGAATACATCATTTCCCTGTCATCTCTCACATGGGACACCTTTTGTTCTGCAATCACCGAAAAGTATTTTCACCTTCTTTGGACGCCATCTGTTCTGCAGAATCTATATGATGCCATTGGTGGGCCAACATCTCAACAGTCTCAGTAAGTTTCAACAATTCTATTAGCATATGATGCCATTGGTGGGCCAACATCTCAACAGTCTCAGTAAGTTTCAACAATTCTATTAGCATATGATGCCATTGGTGGGCCAACATCTCAACAGTCTTAGTAAGTTTCAACAATTCTATTAGCTTGTTCAAAGAATTGTATTTTGCATGAGTAACTGTATCAATATTTATAGTCATATATGTGATTAATTTATTTTGTTCATGATTTTCTGTAAAAATTCAAAAGCAACTATCCGGTTTGAAAATAATATTTAATGTTAAAATATTTTGATTTACAAGGATTAAATATTTGATGATATTTAAGTACCACAAATATTTAGTGTGTTTTTTGTGTGTGTCTATTGTAGTCTTTCAACCAATTCACTGACACGAAAACATACGCACCATGATAAACAAAGGGCGGCACAGTCAAGGCAAGTTACATCACCTGCTAGCACCCAATACCAAAGTAGACATCAACATCATCACAGACCATCAGACCCTACAGGTCAGCTGGATTCTCATGCTGCCACATTGAGATCTACAGAGCAGAAGACGAAACCCTCAGGACAAAACTGTGAGCCAGATCACAAACTAATGCACAGCAATGATGCCAGAAAGGATGATTCTTCAAACAGGTCAAGCTCTTCGTCATTACCAAATGCATCAACTGATCATATGACCATTGTGTCCAATGAGACAGATGTGCATCAAGTTTCTGGTCATTTCAACAATCAATCTTTTAACAGCAGCAGTCCTGTATCCCGCTCTTCCCATTCAGGCTATGACAAGAAAGACAAGAGAAAAATTGGAGAATTCAGTTCTAATCCTCAGGCCCATGTACCAGATTATCCTATAAAACCTCATACTTCTGCCAGTTCTCCTTCTGAACATATCAATATTACACATAACAAGAGAAATCAGGCCTACTCAAGTGTATCTGTTCCAAATGGATTTGATAATATGACAACACATTTTACTGACCGAAAACAGACAGTCCAATCCACACACAGCTTTAAGCCAAAGCCTTTGAAGGATTACGGATCTGAAAATGGAAATGCCTTAAGCTCAAATGACGATAATGTTCAAGCTCTCCCAGTTTCTAACAGACTCAATACACCGCACTCTAAGTACAGTTCTAGTCACAGTAGGCAATTACCTAAAGATAATAAATATTTGTCACCAAATAATGCTTATAATAATACACCCTATCAGCCCCAGAAACATAGCCTTGAAAGCAGTGCAATAATGAATTCAAATCAAAAGTTCAATCAGAATAACAGTGCCCAGTACAATGATCGCAGCTTGCCAAGACAACATCAGAAACCAGTTCAAAGATTGCGGGCACCATCAGCTCCAAATTTTCGATCTACAAAATCTCCAAATTATATCGATTCTAATGATGAAGAAAACTTGGAAACTGAATTTAATACATCAGCTGAAATGAGAAAACTAGCCGCAAAAAAGCCAGAACTCTTCAAGGAAAGAAGGACTTCAGTCATGTTAGATAAACGGCAAGATGAACAACTTCCTATAACTAACAAAGCTCTACCTGATGAAAACACAACACAACCAAAAGAGGAAGCAAGGGATTTGACTGGAAACAATTTCTCATCAAATGGTGAAAGACCCTTGGAAGAAAAACTTGGAGATTTACATCTTAACAAACCCATTCAATTCCCAGTTCCTGTGCCCCATCTAAAGAGTGGTACCAAGCAAAGGTCAAGGCCACATAGTCCTGAACCAAATAAATCTAGCAATGCTTATGCTCGTTCACTCTCTGCTGTGTATACGAACCAGCAGCCAGATAGAGGCGTACATCTTGTTGAGGATCATCTGCCAGGACCATCCAAACGAGGCTCTGGAGGTTCACCAGAGTTGCCAGGACCTTTGCTGCCTTATGCCAAAAAGGGTCAGGTGGTTTACCATTCAGCCATGATTCAACTGTCTCTCACACCTGAAGTGGATACATTTATCAATTCTATAGTAAGAAAATAACTTTTTTTTTTTTTACAGTAAACCTATGAATGTATTTTTAATTAGATCTAATAGTTTATGAATAGTAATTTAAGTATGCTATATATGAAATAGAGTTTTTTCTCTAGAAATCCATGAATTTATTTCATACTTTGTGAAATGAACTACTTATTCTCAAAACAATTTTAATAAATAGTTTCATCCCAGTTTTCAAAATATAACATTTAAAAATGTAACTTTATTATTTAAGAGACAAAATACTTTAATATTTAATACAATGTATTTCCCTTCATTCATTGTGACTCTTTCATTTCATGTTTAATGCAACTTTATTAACCAAGACACATAACACTTTTACATTCATTTAAACGAATGTTTCAAACAGGATGAAGAAAATAAACTTGCTATAGAAAACCGTTTGTCCAGCATTGGTCAAGAAATTCTAGTATTGAGACGTCAGAGGAAGAAAACTCAGAGATTCTACAGTCGACTAAATAAAGGCACAAAAGTTTCAAAAGGTTGCTATAATTTTTAGATCCAAGATTTATCGTCCATAATTTTTGTCAACAAATTTCATGGCTTAAAAATTATAATTAGCTTTGTTTAATTTTGTTTAAAATATATATATATAATTTAAATATAGCTATAGCACAAAGGCTGATTTAGAAATTTTATTTTATTTTTAAATTATTTTAGACTATATATCATACTGACTTTATAGCCAACCTGCATATTTAAACATCTCTTAATTGCTTTTTTTAACTTATTGATTTGAGAGCTACATAATGAACAAATAGTATATATTTATGTTATTTCTGCCTGGCAGAACTTTTTCATTCATTTTATTACTTATGATACAAAATAATTTACAACACATTATCTATACTACCCCTATCTTTGATGACTGATTACAGTTTATAGTTTTCATTTGTAACTTAATTGTAACCCACAGGAGATCAACATGTTAGTGAACAGACTATGAAAGAACTTAATGAAGTCACAAAGAAGCTTGCATTCTTGCAGTTATGCAGGACGCACCTAGAGGTAGATTATGACTTGTTTCGACATATCAGATAAGTTATCTTGAACGTTTTGCTAATTTTTCACTTAAAAAAAACACTCATTTAATATCATGATAACTTACTATATAAAATTATGTCTTTCAGATGTTGTTAGCAGAACTGAATGGCCTGGAAACCTGTTTCCTATACCCAATCAGTGCCTCTGAAGGTAATGGAACTCTCAATCTACAGCATTGCATGGAAAATCCATACCTCCAGGTAAACAAGGGAGTTGTAGCAGTAATACAACATATCATGTCACTTAAATTAAACACAAGATGAAGATGAAATAATATAATCAAGAATAACACACACAAAATTAGAAACAACAGAACCAATATTTCATTACGGTACATTAAATATCAATTTGCCAGAGAAATGAAGTCAACAAACATTTAATTAAGCTGACTTTTTTATCTGAGGAAACTTTTAATGTCCTTTAAGCCATAAAAATAATGTTTATTCTTCAGTTTCGTACAATAAGTTCACCAGGTGAAGGCCAAATGTCTATCCTGCAGGCAGGGACTCCACGAGGCCTCATGTCATATCTCTATAAATCGTAGGTTTTCAGTTTGTTCCGAGAATTGTTTCTTGTATGTGTTTATACACATGTGTCATCCAGTTAAATGGCATAAATTTTATTTGTCAACATTTGAACATTACAGTTCAAATAGCTTGTAGATTTTTAAAAATTATATCCTTTCAATAATTTCAAGAATATTTTTTTTTTAAGGAAACTAATCAACTTATATTTAAACTGTAACAAACAGTCTTGTAGAAAATTAAATTTCACTGTATATTTTCATTATTATTATTATTATTAGGTGGTTTAATATAGTTCTGTATGCCAGCCTAAGGTTAGGGTCACTGCGCTTCACATAAAAATTAGCAATTATGTAAAGGTAAAAAAGCACATCTAAAAATAAAGAAATGTCCTCTTCACAAAAAAAATGCCTGAATGTACTTTTCTTGACATTACAGATCTGCTCTAAGTGATGGCTACATCCATCAATTCCTATTGTGTTTTAGATACCTTTTGACTTCTGATCAACTTTTGACGTTCATTCTGGACAAATGTCACTCAGCCCAAGGGTATGAATTTAAGTGTCAAAGTATTAATTTATTAATATATGATGCATACAGGTGAACCTGTTTAGAAGAATGCTTTTTGTTAACATCTGAAGTTCAAATAATTGAATCTATTTAAATAACTCATGCCTTAATGTTTAGTTTCAACACTGTAAGTTTTTTACACCCTGTGACGTTATTATTTGGTTCTGCTCAATATAAATATTTAAAAAACAAAGTTAACTTTGTTTATTGAAAAAAAATAATAGTTAATTTGGTAAACTAGAAAATGTCTATCTATTGTTGTTATATAAAAGTGTAGTAATGTAGGTGCAACTGACTCGTTCTATCATTATTATTGCAGTACCAAAACGAAGGATGTGAATGTGACCAGGGTTGAGCGCAGATCATTAGACTTGGTCCAGTTTTGGCTGGAAGGTTTTTACTCTATTGACTTTGCTCCCAACAAAAGATTAATGAGTAGATTGGCAGAATTTCTCAAAGAACAGGTATGCAAATAACTTCCCATTGTTTAATGCCTAAACATCTACTATTTTTGCCTTCATTCTCATGCACTTAATTAATATTCTGAAATAAAAGCTGTGGCATCATAGGAGTTTCTTAAATTTTTTGTAAACTTCCATAGCTTACAGTTTTTTGGAGTTTTTTTGTTCAGCTACAGGGTGGGCCAATAAAAGTGAGAACATTTCGTAGCGTAATATTTTACGAGATGTTCTCACTTTTATTGGCCCACCCTGTATATGCATAAGACTATAGTTAATCTATTTGCTTCTTACTTCTCAATTATTAGATGGAGTTGAAAGTAGAAGGTGCAGATAATATGTTTAGTATGTATGCTGCATGTAGAATGGGAGACCACACGGAGTTGATGATGATGACTGAGATGGATGAGGATGCTGAAAAAGATAACTCCTATTTTTTGCATCTAACTAATTCTACAGAGGTACGTGCTTACATATTGTCTCTTCTGATGCTAAGTATTATTACACACTTAAAATAGAAATTGCTAATAAATATTATTTATTTTCTTAAATTAGCTAATTGTACTTAAATCATTCTAAGCTGCAAATAATGTTTTGAATTATTTTTATTTATGAATTGTACATAACAATTTTTTAAAATTACTTCTTTATTACATTTCATTACTAAAATTATTACAGCTTTTTAAGTACCAAATTATATGTTTAGGCTTAGGAGATTATTGCTTTAAAAATATTCCTTTTGTCAGAATTTTGCTAAATTTTACTTCATATTTTAGCATAATAATGAGTTTTGTTTTAAAAGTGTCCAGTTAGTGACAGTTAAATTAATCAAATGTTTTAATGAGATTTTTATTGCATTTACTTTAACTTTCATATTTTTATTTCTATTTTTTACTGGGATGACATATATATTGTTTCTTCCATAAATTAATCCATCCTGCTTTTGGGACCTCTTTTGCTAAAGAGAAAATAGTGTATTCCTAGTTAAAATTTCTTTGAATGTAACAAGATAGAACTACAGGCCTATTTTTTTATCAATAACTTTCATTTCTTATTAAAAACAATAAATCTGGAAGTCATAAAAGACATATTGCTTTCTATTACATGACTTCTTCTTCACAGTTATGCCTAATTTACTAATTTTGTAGAGAAATAGTAAATTATTTTATAAGAATAACAAATTTTTTACTTTACTAGAGCAAAACTGAGTGGCTTATGGAGGTAAAAGTTATATTTTATTTACTGTGCATCCCAGACTGCCTTAACTTTGACCTCAGTGGCATAGCCAGTCTTTTTAGATGCCTACATCAGGGAAATCAAATAATTGAAAAGGTCACTATTTTTGTTAGATAAAAGTTTTCATCCTCAAAAAGTCGGGCCCTTCATTTAAACTGGCTCAAATAAGAGCAACCACACTACTGCACAACTGCTGCGCAGCCTACTGGCTATGCTACTGACTTTCCTTTCTCTTAATTGTTATTAAAATTTCTGCTAAAATTGGAATGTTTTTTTTCAAGATCTAGTTATTGAGGTTTTTGGCAATATATATCTCTAGATAATATCAATTTTAGTGAGTTAATTTGAAACTTAAACGTACCTCCAGTAATATTATTAATTTATGACATGATTAAAACCAGTATCAGAGTTATAATTTTCATCTTAAGAATCTGAGAGCTTTCACTCATTTCTTACAATATTCATCCTAAATCATACACCATTGGTACCATTCTTAACTCTATTTTTATGTTAACTTTCAAAACCTTGTTTTTCTTGTAAAAGCCTCTGTTAGCTCTAAGCACATGCCTTCACATATTTACATGATTTATTTAACCAATGAACAATTGATTTTAATTTTTTAACATTTCTTGCTTTTCTACTTCACCACAATTTTTTTTTTAATACTAAAACCAATTATTTTAAAAAAAATTAGCTTACCAGATGTTTGCCTCATTTGTCTTGTGTTATATAAGTCTAAGATAATAAAGGATACATAAATCAGCTGATGTGTCTATGCCATCATTATAAAATATTCTACATTAAAATAATTTCTTTAAGTGTATCAAGAGCATCCTTTGTAAGTAAAAGTGAGAATATAACATTTACATTTTGTTAAAAATAAATTGATTTTTTAGAGGCTGCACTTGTAGCAATGATATTTTTAGTGTAAATTGAATCAAGAAGAGTGAGAATAATCAATTTTAAGCAGTGCATGTTGTTGTTGTTGTTTTTTTTTACATGTTTCTACATTAGACATACTTTGAACTTTTAGATGGTGCAAGTAAATGTGGAAATAGATTTTTTTAAATAGTATGTGTCTTCCTTTTCATTGATAAGATGTTATTTGATATAAAATGATGTGCAAACCTCTTTGCAAATTGAGTAGTGAGCAGTGTTTTCATTTTTATATGGCACACAGCATTTTATTTTCTCATAGCTACTATTATTTTTTTAATTATGCTGTGAAAATCAATTGATTTCTGAGATTTAAATTGTTCTAAATTTAAACAGATTTCTTCATACTGATTGTGGTTGTCATAAAAATTACACTTTCAAAAAAATGTAATGCTTAGATAGCCACTAATCTATTTATAGGGCATATAGAAATGTATGCCTTGGTTTAATATAATCTAAATAATTTTATTTTAAGTTAGTCAAACCTAAGTATAAATGCTCTATGAATAGCCTTACTCATTTGTAAAATATAAATTTAATTGAATTAAGATGTACCACAGCTTTTAAAATAATATTACATACAATATGGTTTCATATATTCCCAGTGGGATGGGTTCAAATCTTTGCTGAAACAGTCTAAATCTGAAAAGCTCAACTCTGGATTAGGATCTAAAACTAAATCTGAGCTGAAAATATCTTCACTTAAGGGAGGGTTGAAGGAAAAGCATCCATTTTCTGTATTTGATTGTCCAATTGATACACTTGCAGAGCAGTTGACACTTATCGAACAAGTATGTCACATAATAACTTAAAAGTTTCATTTTTTTTTCTAATAGCAATAAGAAGGCAAAAATATTTTTTTTTTAATGTAAATTTCTTTATCATTTACGAAATAGACATATCATATGTTACATATTTATTGAAAAGAAAATGATTGTAGACATTCAATATTTTCAGGAATTTTTTAGAAAATGCCATCCTGTTCATTTTTTGAACTCACAATTTCAAGGAGTTGGTGTTGCTCTATCCATGCCAGGTCTTAGGACTCCATCAATGTCAAGGTCAGTGACATATAGTTTCCTGAAATGTTGCATTGAAATAGTGAGCCTATTGTGCTTTGTGATTCTGAAATTAGGTTATCATATTATTTTTTAAAATTATAAAACAGATTTTATTAGTTATGAGATAGTGTTTATTTATTTTTATATATATTTAATAGTCATTTATACATTTTAACATACACTTTTGCAGGAAATCTGACCCAGGCCCTAAAAAGGGCTTATTTGTAGGTGAACCTGTAATCCCATCAGGCCTTTTAGATATGATTAGTCATTCACAGGAACTTGCTCACTGGGTGTCTGCTGAAGTTCTCAGCTGTGGATCAAACAAGGTAAGTAACATCTCTGGTAAATGCCAGTAACATCTCTGGTAAATGCCAGTAACATCTCTTGTAAATGCCAGTAACATCTCTTGTTTAATAGATTCAAGCTTACAAATGCATTGTCTACTATTTCATTCATGTTTTTTGGCAGCCTGATAGTGGGAAATTTTGGTAAAATTGACAATCCTTAGACACTTAAACCCAATAAAAGTCAAAACCTAAACCACAACCCTGAAGACTAATATGTGTTTAGTTCACATTAAGTCTCTGCTTTTTAAGATATACTTTTATATTTATATTAGTTATATTGTCTTTAAACATATAGAAATTAGAAAGGGTTGTCTTCCGTCCCTCCCCCCCCCTCCGTCCCCCCCGGGCATTCCAAGGTGCCTATGGAGGAATTTGAAAAAACTCTTATTTGCTTAATATTAAAATATTAATATTAAAAGGGGGATACCTGCAAATATACTAAGATGTAGAGAATAAAATCCCCTCTGTAATTCACTAGGGCTCCAAGAACTTAATTATTATTAAACTTATACATAAAGTACAACTGGTGACCTCTTATTGTCCCTGTCTAAACCTGGACAAGCAGATGGATGGAGAGAAGCAGATCATGTTGTGACCAACCCTGAGGTATCATTCCATGACTGTGTTGTAAGCTTTGGTTTTAACATGGTGATAGAGATATTTAATTGTATAGAAATATTAGAGATATTAAAGTTAAATTCTAGAGATAATAGAGATATTTATGTTGTGTTCCACACTGACACATATACTTAGAGGAATACATCATTAAAACTTCCTTTGTCATCTGAAGAGAAAGCTTTTTGCTTTCACCTAGTACCTGTTACCTCAAAATATTGGCAATAATGCTGAAGATAATAATCTTACAAAGTTGTGTTGCTTATATTTGAATATTTTATTGTACCATTTAAAATGTTCAAACTACTCTAGAATTTTGATGGGATGGGGAGTATGGAGAGGGGTGGGTGTGTCTGGTGGGGGATGTTTTGAGTGGGGTGGGGCAGTTATTTTAAATTTTGATCTTAATGAAGGCTAGAGTTGAGAGACATAAGAGAATTGTGATTTTGATACTTGATCTACTCCATTTAGTATGGTAATATAAAATGCTTCATTTTTCAAATTTGCAGTCTTTTTTATTTGTTCAACTTCTTTTGCAACTGCTTCACTTTTTGTATATGATGTGTTAAAAAAAAAGAAAAAAATGTGGATTCAGAGCTTACCCATTTGTTTCATCTGTGTTTTATACAAAGCCTTTATACAATTTTATTTATTTCAAAGTTTGGAAATTGAAACTAAGCCATAACAAAGTTTTATTTTTATTTCAAATTTAATTAAACAAGCAGTTAAATAACAGCTAGAGGAATTATCTAAATTAATGTCGATAGTGAATTATTCAAATTTCACATTTTTTTTCATCTGAACTCTAAGGATTTATATTATTTTGTATTTTATCTCTTTTAGCATCAAGTGAACTTAATCACCAAATTCTTGACCGTTGCTATCATGTGCCTTAACATAAGGAACTTTGCTACAGCTTTGTCAATCTTGGATGGGCTAGAAAACCTGGTGGTTAAGCAATTGCCAGCTTGGAAAAACATCTCTAGTAAATACATGACCTATATGAATGAGCTTGCTAATACAAAGGTGAAAGATTATTGTTTTTAAATATCATATAGTCAAACTATCTGTTAAAATATTTTAGCCTTTTTAAAATTCATGAAGAAATAACCAAAGTTGCATTAATTAGTTTCTTTGTATTACATTTCATAAATTAACGCTTTAAGATTTGTTAAATCCTAAACCTTTTAAAAAGTCTTTAAACATATTGGGTTTTTTTTTCATAGGAAATTGTTAAATTCAAATGCATATAAATATAAAATTAAAATAAATACTTTGTTGTCTTTTATAATCCAACCAGATGAAACTAAAAAGTGAGGCCATGTTGTTAATGTCTGAGAAAAACTGCCATGTATATCCTACGATTCCATGTGCCCTTTATGCAGCATTACAATTACAGCAGTTAGAAATTGGCAGCTTCACTTTGGCTAATGGAATGTTTAAATGGGACAAAATCAGGTGGGCTTATAAAATAAAGGAATTGAATTCCATTTATTTGTAAAATTATTTATTTAATTTGCATTATGCACTGAATTATCATTGCTTTAAAGTGTAGCAAATATGTAATAAATTAAAGCCACTTTGATAACTGACAGGTCTATCACTGAAGCTGTTGACCAAATGCGAATCTTCCGTGACCATGAGTATGGCTTTCAACCAGAGTTAGAAATTCAACAAGCACTGCATCGATATTTGAAAGAATACTGTGAGCAAGATCTTCATGCTGTGGCTTCGACTCAAGATAACAACTTCCGGAGACATTCATCATCTTCTTCTCTGTCAGGAACATTAAAAAAAGTCAAGGAGAAATTACAGTCAAAGAAAAAATAGGATTGTTTTTTATCATACATGTTGAAAGGATATAAAGTTCGAGTTAAAAATAAAATTCAAATTTTATTTACAACTGAATATGCATTAAATAATTGGATATTTATTTATATTATCATTATGCTTCCTTTTACATTTTTATTTATACTGTGCCAGTAGTTTAATCACATTCTTACTGATAATAATGTGATGGTATGTGAATAATTAATTAATATACTTTGTTATCAATTGCCCATTGTGGATAATATTATTATTAGTAATATGATATTTTTTATTACTTATTAATATCAAAAAAATTGTTATTAATCTGTAAATAATCACCTCATAAAATATATGCAATAGAGGTGTGTTAAATTTGTTTGTGTTTACATGTGTATTACTAACTAATAAATTATAATTCTTTAAGAAATGGTTATTTAAACTATAAAAATAGATTTTTACATACCGGTACTTAGATAAAAAAAAAAAGCATTTATACTGTCTATCCAACAGGTGTGTGCTTCCATTTCAAAAAAAGCAAAATATTTTATCCAATCTCAACAATTGGAGGCTGTAAATTAAACATGTTTGGTATAATTTTTTCTTAAATAAAAAATATTGCATTCTTCTAACGTTTAAATTCTGGCATGTGTGGTTGTCTTGTCTAAAACAGATCAATAAATCATTTGTGTATATAAATATTCTCTAAAGATTTACACCCTAAGGTTCTCTATATTTAAATAAATTTTTGTTTAATCATAAATTTTTCTCCACCACTTTGCTCTAAATATCCCCCTTTTTCTCTATATTACTTAGAGATATAGCTTCAAGTTTATTATTTTCCTTAGATTTTACATCAGAACAGTCAAAATAAAGAGCATAGAATAATTTTTTTAATTTTTTTTTTTTGGGGGGATAAAATATTATTACATTTTCATTTACCTTTCTTTGATCATTATTTTTTTTTCAACTTTAACTTTAAATGTCTTTGCTCCCTTCAAAAATGTTCCAGTAGTTATGATTGTAAAAACATTTTATTTTGGTGTGAATCAAATGCATGCTTAAGTTGAGTCCCAAGAGATACAAAGAAAAAAGATATAATTTTATTATGTTATTGGCCTACTGTATATCTGGAAATGATCTATTTGTTGTAAATTATTCTGTATTCATTAAATTATTACCTATATATAGTTTTCTTGTGAGAAAAATGCAATACAGTGAATCCAACTGTTTTGATACTGCTGAAACAATGTGTGATATAAATATTCTGTTGTTATCATTTTGAAATTTAGGAAATACTCATAACTTTTTTTTTTTACATATAATATTTCTGTACCATTTCAAGGATTTAGGTTTCATGATGAGACCTAAACAAGAAGATTTTTAATTTATACGATTTTAAGAAAGCATTTCCATGAAATGAGAAAACTCTCTTACTCTTACTGACTCATGTCTTTTTAAATTATAGAAATCCAGTTTACAATTTTAAGTTATAATAGCTTTTTGTCAATTATTTTTAATTCAAATTATTTATTTCTGTGTCTTAGGTAGAGAGAGGCAATAAAATACCTCCAATCCGTGACATTATTTTTGTTAACTAAAAGTAGACCTATTCATATTCCATCATATCCAAATGATTTGTTCAGCTTATCCAATGGTGCAAGTGCTTTTTTTTAAAATGATTTAATTTACTATAAAGCATTTTCCATTGAAATGGGCATCAAGAGGAATAATAACTCCCCTTATCTCTTTTCAATTTCTCACTCACGGAGATATAAAAATTAAAACATGGCCTTGCCTCTAACTCTAACTCTTCAAATAGTGAAATGGTTGTGGAATTCTTAATTTATTTAATGCATCCATTTTATTATTATTATTTTTTATCCTTACTATAACATTTTATATCATCAAATGAGTAGGGTTTATGACTAAAAGATTAACTCATTAAAATAGATAAAAATTGCAACATTTCTAGTTTATATTTCATGCCCTTAAGAAAACAATAAACACAACTATCAAAACTTGTCTCGTGCATTTAATTATTTCTTTGCGCTACTCATAAGTCATAATATTAGGCCTGGTTATGTTCAATGTTCTCTTTGAGCTGCGCAGATATTTCACAGTCAGCACGCAGCAGTTTTGAGTATCCGCCCAGCAAATTCTTATAAAAAATAAATTCCAGCAGATACGCTGCACTCTGAGGAATTGTACAGTTTTTATAACATAGACATCCATGTTTTTAATTTGATTCTTGTCTATATTTTGTTTTCTACTTTTTACGTAGAGCTATTGATTTATATACATACTGATACATACTGGATTAAGCTAGCCATTCATGTAAATTTCGTGACTCATACTGCGCTGTGAATGTTTATAAATTAAATAAATCGCATATATCTAGTTTATTATAAATGTAGTACCTAATTATTTTTAATAATGTTTTAACCGTTATGTCTAAAAGTCAGTTAAGCAAAATGTCAGCGTCATCGCTTGCTAAGAGAAAGTGTAGATCCAAATTTTAAAATGGGATAGCTCAATGAATTTGTGCATGCAGCACTACCAGATTCGTTGTCAGAGCGGACTGTCAAGCTGGGAGATATTTTTAAATATTGTGAAATTGATGGTGATGTTTTCTGTGAAATGTGCTTCAACGCTAATGCAGGTGGTAACGCCTCCACAGGAAAAAAGGTGGGAGGTTTGGAAGCTGGATTATCTTAAACGATCTATCAAGCAAAAAATACACACAGATGCTGTCCAGAAACTTGGTTCTATACAGTCAGGATCTGTCCAGGCATGAGACAAGAAGCAGCACAACGTAGAAGTGCTAAAAAAAAAGAACAGGTTAAAATGTTGATTGACAACGTCCTCTTGGCTATCGACATGAACACATCTATGAATACGATTCAATACATACAGACATACACAAACATGTGGCAAAGTGTGTCCCAGTCCTTGAAAGCTGGCGGAGTAAGAATTACGCTTTTGAGAAATAAAATTTAAATTACTTTTAAATTAAAATAGTAAAATCGAAAGTATTCAATAGATCAAGGGTCTCAAACTCAAATCATCGGGGGGGGGTGGGGCGCAGGAGGTCAGGAGGTAGAGTCTGAGTGAGACTGGGCCGCAACAAGTATTCCACAAAAAAGCGATTACAAATTCATTAAAGTACAACTGTTACGATCTGCTTAACCTTTATAAATAACAAATAAAAACATTAAGGTTTCTCAAGAACTAGTATTCACTTTCTTCCACCTACTCACTTTTGCCAGAGACCTGGCAGCGCTTCTTTTTACACAGCTGAGCAACTTTGGCTTGAGTGAGGAAGCAACTAAGACCCTCAGTATAGCTTGAAGATCCTCATAATTAAGTTTTGCCCTGAACTTTGACTTGTTGAAGTGCATTGTGGAAAAGAGCTTTTCACACAGATAGGTACTCCCAAAAAAGTCATATGATCCGCTTGAACAACCTAAAAATTTCAGGGAAGGTGGAGGATAATGCAATAAGATGTTCAAGCTTGTATTTTGTCCATTCAGCTCCCAGAGACGGGGCATCTTGCACATTAAAGGAGAAAGGGTCAGCAAAAAGCTGAAAAGTGGCTGTCTGTGTTTTGAAGTCTACAAAATATGATCAAATTCTTTCTGTAGCTTTGCAATGGCATCAGTATACTTACTACTAAGTTACTACTGAATGGTGTGCCCGAGTCCATGAGTAATTTGCATATTGGGAAATGGAAGAGGTTTCTCTAAGAACCATAACACATGTTTTGTGTAGAATGCCCTGACATTGACATAGGCAACACTGAAAAGCTACCCCTGGTCTTCTAACTTCTTGTTGAGTACATTCAGCTCCTGTGTAATTTCAACAAGAAACACCAAGTCCATGAGCCATTTTGGATCACTTAGTACAGGAACAACCACCCAATCCTTCTCCATCAAGGCTTTAAATGCTAAAGCGTGTCAAGCCAGGAAGGAGTAGACCATATTTATGAATTATTGATGCGAAGGAAGCAGCTATGGCATATATGGGTAGAATGAATTTTGACTTTTTGTCGTAGTAAAGGCTTTTTTGACTAACACTATTTTAAAAGACAATCCTACTATATGGAGCAGAAACTTTGAAAACAACGGCGAGCATTGAGCAGAAAGTACAGACCTTAGAAAGATCCTGAACATCAAATGGCCAAATATTATCACCAACAAAGATCTACTAGAAAGAACTCGCCAGGTGCCCATCGACGAAGACATCTTAAAGAATAGATGGAGATGGATAGGACATACTCCCCGAAAACCCCCAGATAGCATCACCAGATAATTCCTAACATGGAATCCACAGGGAAAAAGAAAGAGAGGAAGGCTAAAGAATACACGGAGACGCGAGCTAGAGGCAGACACGCAAAATATGGGATACACCTGGAAACAAAGGCACAGGACTGTGATGAATGTAATATTATAGTGGATGGCCTATGCCCCAGACTGGGTAAAAAGGCATAAGAATAAGATTTTGAAAGTGACCAAGCTGACAGTCTTGGAATTTCCCTCTCTCGTAAACACTAGCGGCAATTTTGATATGGACCCTTTGATAATGTATCAGATTGCTACGATTTACACAATTATGGTTGTGCATTACGCGTGGGTAAAAAGGCATAAGAATAAGATTTTGAAAGTGACCAAGCTGACAGTCTTGGAATTTCCCTCTCTCGTAAACACTAGCGGCAATTTTGATATGGACCCTTTGATAATGTATCAGATTGCTACGATTGACACAATTATTATTGTGCATTACCGCCAACTTACTTTTAAAAACTTTTCTCAAAGCCGCACTCTTTGCCATGTTTGTCTGATAAAAAGCTATAAAATAAAAACTCTTATTCCGATTTTAAAACCGTCTTACCATTATAATCAACATACAAAAATATATAGAAACATAAAAAAAAAAAAAATCAGAATTAGACCAGTCGGTGAGATTCGACTAAAACCTTCGCGGAGAGTCACATTATAGATATGAGAATGGGCAAAATGCGTCGGCGTATTAACACTAAGCTTTGCTGTCATGTAGTGGGCTGCAAAATATCATCTTGCGGGTCACAAATTACTCGCGGGCCGCGAGTTTGAAATCCCTATATTAGATGTATATGTATTAATATTCACGATTATCTCATTTTTATAAAAAAGAATGTAAATATTGATACTTTCCCCCTCATTTTCGATGTTTGCAGAATGTATGCGTAAACGAATTTCAAAATATCTAAATATTTCATTTTCGGTTTCAGCCGAAAGTCTCTTTAATCTTTCGGCTTCGGTTTCGGCTAAAGTATCTTTAATCTTTCGGTTTCGGCCGAAATCAGAAAATCACTTTCGGTCGGTCTCTACCCCGCAATCCTTTAGATCAGCGGTTCTCAACCTGTGGGTCGCGACCCCTTTGGGGGTCGAACGACCATTTCCCAGGGGTCGCCTAAGACCATCGGAAAACACATAATCTCTACAGTAATGAAGTAGCAACGAAAATAATTTAGAGATTGGGGGTCGCACAAAACATGAGGAACTGGAATAAGGGGTCGCGGCATTAGGAAGGTTGAGAACCACTGCCTTAGATTGGTAAGTGCAGACCTCTCATATTCATAGCGTGTGGCTGGGGTTTAGTAGAAAATCTTATATGTAGGCGTAGAATGCACGTGGGCTGGGTTCATTGGATACCCAGAATTTGTGACGCCCGCGGCAGCCCTGGATTTCGGCGCTCCCCTAATGAAAGAAATCCACAATGCAATGCATAATAACAAATGCACTTTAAGTTTCAGCGCGTCCGTCGAGTTTGCCGAAAATGCCGCCTCCTAAAATAAGCAGCACACTGGACGGACCAAAACAATGCCTTCAGCTTCACTCACACCTACGGCCGTGTCGAGGTTCACACAACAATCTCGTGTGTCAAGCACAGAGTGTGCGTGCCCTTGAATGTCTTCACAAAAATGTCTAAGGGGGCGTCCATTAACTACATCAACAAAATATAGGGGGGGGGTGACAAAGGGGGGGGGGGGTAGATTAGTTGACGTCAACAATCATGTTTTTAACCATTAAAATTTTAATCTTAAAAATTGACTTGTTCTTACATTATTTTAAACAATTTAATGAGTTTAAATAGTCATATTATTATATGTTTAGGCTTTTAACAAAATAAGAGTTAATTAATGTGTGTCTGTCGGTGCACTGCAGATGGTTGGTCAGAATGTTAGCACACTTTGTTAGTGCAAGAGAAGTCAAAAGTTGGCATCTCTTCACCTGTCATTTTTCTCTTAATCCGCTCCTTAGAGTGATTAAGACATCCTTGTACGCGGTGTTCAACTAAAAAAACAACAACACCAACTCGTCGGTGTTCAATAACAACTCGACCAACTCATCGGTGTTCAATAACAACTCGACCAACTCATCGGTGTTCAATAACAACTAGAGTCTAGACCAATTCAAAGACAGGGAGAGCTTATGGCAATTATTGCTCACACAGACAATGCTTCGATTTAAAGTGCTGAATGGTTAGATTAGGATGATGTTGACGTGTCTGGTGTATCAGTTCCACGAGATGAAAATGATAAATCAGCTACTATAGACTAGGCTAGGCCCATCAGGGGCGTCATTTCAGGTCTTTTTTCAGGGGGAGGGCTAAACAAAAACTTGGTCGGCTTGTTGTTTATTACTGGAGGCGCCACAGTACATAGCAATTTAAATAAAACCGGGGGGGGGTGAATGCCCCCCTGCCCTACCCAAATGATGTCCTTGATGCCTATTGTTACGATAGAGCAACACCTGGCTACTCCATGGGAAGATAATAGCAGCTAGAAACTGTAGGCTACTATAATTTTCAGCTATGCTGACAATGATCATATTTATACTTCCACAAACAATGATATTTAGCCTTTAACAACCTTTAAATTGATTCTGCAATATAAAATTTAAGTGTAAAAACTTTTTAACTTGTTGATGAACAAGCTAAAGATGTAATCAAATGTTTTTCCTACAATTTTGTGTTATTAAAAATAGATCAGCACAAAGTCAAACCTATTTATAAATTTATTTATATTATAATTCATTTATTTATTTATTTATTTTTTTTTTGGGGGGGAGGGTATAAAATGTTGACATAATTAAATAGGGGGTGGGGGGGTCATCGAAAGTTTGACAGTTGTTGACAAGGGGGGAAGGGGTAAAAAATTGCGTAAAACTGTTGACGTTATTAATGGACGACCCCTTCAAAACACACGTTAGGCTTCCATGAACCAGGTTAATACTGTATCATCGACACCCAGTTAATGCTAATGATGAACCTACACATGTTCTGCAATGAGTAGGCCTACTATTATCTCTGAGCCTCAGCGGCGTGCTGCCAATCAAGTGACAACTGCTTCGATGCTTGTCGGTTAAACACACCAAAAAACAACAACAGACACACAAACAAAAACGAAAAAACGCCAAAATAGTCTATTTATAGATATTTAATATTTTCAAAATTATTATTTTGACATTTTTAACAACTAGTTTGGTAGGACTGTCGATATTTAACAACCGACCCCAACACACTGCGGATTAGCCTATTAACCAGAAAAGTCACCAAAAGTAAAAGACCAAGGACTGACGTCCCATTTAACAATAACCTGCATTATTATTAACCAAATCCATCACTAGGTAGGGTAGTCAGGTATGTAAGTGTATCTTTGATGTTAGTTTAGTATAGTTTAATCTTGTAAGGTGACGCATAATTTCAGTAATAAATCTGCCAGCAAAATGAATTTAAATTTGTTATTTTATTTTATGATCAGTTTCCTTCAACAAAGCAGCTATTTAATTAAAAAGCGACATCAGTGAAAGAATTGTTGTTAATTTTAATTTCAATGAAATGAAGAGTTACCTTGCCCTGCTTACCTGGAGTTCCAAATTCACCATTTCTAAATTACTACACTTACACATAAAAAAAAAAGGATCGCCAGATTAATTTATCTTAATTTAATTAACATTATCTAAATGCAAAAAAATAAAATATTTGATAATGTTTGCTATTTAAAAAATTATTTATTTTTAATATTACATGAATTTATAACATTACCAAAACTAAACTTTGGATCTATCTTACCATGGCGGAGTCCCTATGGTTTCTTGAATTACCTGAGCGGTGAATCGCTTCACAACATAATGGCGGAAGTGTTACGGAAATAGATGGTTCCATTGGCATCCCGTAATAAGCGTCATTGTAGTAAAATGGAAAACTTACTCTTGCTAGTTCTTCTAGTTTGTACCACTTCATTGGCTGCCGCAGAAAGACGTGAGTATTTGAATACATGAGACTGACATTCTAGAAAAAGCGTGTAATTTTTAAATATTGTCTCGGTCAAATGCGACCTTACTTACAAATTAACATTGAACATTGCCATGGCACTTCCTGAAACTAGCGCAGCAACAAGAAACCACTTAGTTTTTATTACAATGTCGAAAATTTTAGCTACTTTTTATTTAGCTTGGTTAGTCTAGAATCATTGCAACTAATAGGCATATAATGGAAAAAACTTATCTGACAACATTTACTTCATATGTTATTATTACTGAATTGACATGACATAGACATAAGACATAAGCCTTGAATCACTATCACTCAAACTCAAGTCAAGTAATTTTAGTATATACTACGCTACTTGACAATTATACTAGTACTAGTAAACACTAAGACACAGGTTGTTAAAATTAAATAGGCCTACTCTAGTGTAGGCCTATATATTATAACAACATTACACTGTCAGTGTGGAAGTCTGTGACTAGGAGTAAGTTGAGAATGATCAAGTAAACCATTAGGCTAGGTCAAGTCCTACTGATTTGTTTACCTGTGCCTTTATCTCTTAGTTAGCCTTAGTCTTAGACTTGCTTACCTATATTCTAAAATCTATATTGTTGAACCTTTCTGTTTAGGCACTGGCCTATCTGGACAAAATGTGGGCTAGAGCCATACTCCCAAAAAAGTGCACACCTAATACTAATAATACACTTTAACACATCAGTTATATAATATAATGTTATACTTTAAAATCCAAGCGTGTTGCCCCTTTGCACCCCCCTCTTACTCTTGGTTCACCGCTCACTGTGTGAAGTCCTGTGCTCATTGAGTGTATTCCTGTGCCCACTGTGTGAAGTCCTGTGCTCATTTTATGACTGTGTGTAGTCCTGTAACAACTTCAACAGTAACCTAACATAGCATGGCTCACATCATGATCAAGCTTCAATTCTATGCATTGCCTTCTATCACATGCCGAAGGGAGCATTAGATTTGTCATTTCAGTAATAAGACGTGTTTTCTTTAGGGAATATATAACCTTCATATTTTCACTCAATTTAAACACTAGAACAAGCTATGAATTATGTCATAACCTGTCTACACTTCCCCCTAGATAATACTATTACTTTTGTATTAGTATTTAATATTATAAAAATAATAGTCTTATAAAATCTTCAAAGAATGAAACCTTAATCAAAGAAATGTTACCTTTAATGAGGGTTGAGATGATTTAAATCAAACAATTGAATTCATGATTTAAATCAAACAATTGAATTCATGATTGAAATCAAACGATTGAATTCATGATTTAAATCAAATGATTGAATTCATTATTTAATTCAAATGATTGAATTCATGATTTAAATTGAAACAATAAAAATCATATTTATTTATTTAATTAATTTGTATTTATATTTAAAGAGACTTGCTAAAATTATCTAGTCAGTAGGAAACATTTTTATTTAAATAATATTAACTACACTATGTTAAAAACATACTTCAAAATCTAAAGAAATCCTTAAAATATGAGGGGGAAAATCATAGAATAAAAATGTATTTAAATAAATTTTAAAAATGCAGTTTAGATTTTTTAAAAATTGATTTACTTACTATTAATTATATTATGTTTAATCTTTATAAAAAAGTTGAAGAAAAATCAATTTTTTTAATAATACCACTTGAATGAGATGTATCCAAATAAAAAAAAAATGTTTTTAATTTTTAAAATTTGCTATTAATAGTATTAACAAAATAAAAAGTACTAAACACACCTTTGAATAGATCATTCTGTAAATAGATTGTATAGTTGCCACAGTTGAATGAAATAAACTTGACGATAACTTCTAATCTCACTCTAGCAACTCGATGGTGTGTAACAAGTACAGCTGAGGAAATCAAATGCAACCAGCTAAAATTTGAATTGAAGGAGGCACTCGCTAAAAACAAAACATTGGCAACGGTGGTGCCTGCGGATTTTGAGTGTATTCGCACATATGATTCGTAAGTTGTTTTTTTTTTTTTTAATAATAAGCATGAACAAAAACATGAAAACTGTCTCCTCCCGTATCTGTGTGTTGCCTACCCTTAAGCATCACAAAAAAAGACCTTATGACCAGAGAGATTCTTTGATAGGACTTTAAATGCTAAAAATATAACTGTAACATATTAGGTTCTTTTGTGTTTATGTATTTATTAAGCATTATTGTCAAATGAAAACAGTATATTAAGATAAAAATATAATGTAGATTTTCTAATGCAGAGGCAATTACTTTCACTCTGATATATTGATGGATCCCTTTGAATGTAAGGTAAACATTTTTTTTTAAATTGAAAATCTTTAATTTCTTTTTGATTTTACTCCATGATGTCAGTCTTGTTTTGTTCCTTTTTAATCTTGACATTGTTGTACTTTAATGTATTTTGACATTGTTGTACTCTAATGTCAACTGTTACTTACTCCAGGTTCACATGTATGGACATGATTGAGAAAGATGAGGCAGATTTGGTCAACCTCGATTCTGGTTTGGGTTACTTTGCAGGACGTCAGCATAATATGATGCCCATCATGGCAGAGAACTATGCCACTAGTGAGATATATAATCACATTTTATTTCGTTTCATGTTTCATTCTTGGTCATCATTTTTTCGACAACATGCTCTATGTATATCTAACTGCATCTATGGATTTACATTTAAGGGGGGACCGGTAGTCAACTTTACGTAAAAATCATGTTTTTTTTGTTTTTTTTCAATTTTCCAAAAAGTGTATATTTGGTTACAATAACCTCTTATAAAAACAATCCCCAAATAAAATTTGCTAAAAATAATTGTTCTAAGTACATAATTTGTCCTAATATAACACGTATCTAGGCAACCATTTCAGGAAAATCGGCTTTCCGACACGTTATGGTCATTTTAAAACCCTTTACAACCGCATTCCTTCAAGCCTAATGCCTATTGTTAGGCCTCTTTGGAAAGCTTAGACCACTGGCTACAACTTTGACCTACTTATCTCAAAATCATTCTACCTAACAAAGAGAAGCGAGCTGTGCAATACGTCACATTTGTTGTAAAAGTGTGTTTAGACGGCTTCTACGTCATCGTGTAGTAAAGCCTGTAATTTCATTGGTCAACTATAAGTAATGTTACCAAAAATAGCACAAATTGGGTTACCGTATACCGAAATGCAACACGGTTACTTTCGTTTCGCAACCATTCTGTGTTGATAAAACTATCCACCGTTTGTCAGACTTACATTGGATTTATCAAAGGCTGCTCTTTTCGTGCTCACTATATTTGTTCAATAACAAGCCAAAGGTAAATATGGATGTAGTATGATTTACCATTTCATTATTAAAAATTGTTTTAGTAATAGTACTAGTATCAGTATCGTCAACGTCATGCTTTCTCACGTCAGTAGTGACAACCTACCCATACAAATTATTATAAATACAAGGATCATTTCAGTTCTGAAACTAACTAAATTATAAATTATATATATATATACTTGTTTCAAAGTTTTAATATTTAATAACTATCATTAACCAGATATATTTTATTATGTGCTTATTTACTTGTCAAGAATTGAGTGTAAACTAAAAAAAAAAAAAAAAAATTTGTTTGAGGTTAGTTATTTGAAAGGTGTGTGGGTGTTGTTGGGTTTGATTGACGTCTCTCATCATCAACAATTTAAAAGATAAGGAATTAACCACTTCATTTGTAATCCTTTCTTTACCTTGATGACTAAAATTAAATTGTTCTGATTTATTTGCAGTGAAATGGCACCAAGAAAACAAGCAGCGATTCTGCGAGCCAAAAGTACAGCTTGCTTCGAACAGGTACTACTCTTGGAAACATGGTGGCAGTAGAATCTAAGAGTGCCATGACACCTGATGCCAGGTGGGTGTAAGTGTAAGACTGGAAGTATTGTAAGGTTTATATCATAATGATATATAATTGTTTTTTTATATTGTCATCTCTACAGGCCCCACGAACAGCTGCTCAATATATTATCTATCTGCATTTATAAAAAAAAATGTAATGCTGTTACTATATTTATTGTTGATGGAGCAAAGTGTAATTATATATACATTTTTAACAGATAAAATGAATCTTCAGCAGTGGCTCTGTGAGAATGCAGTGGCCATCGAAAGTTACAGATGAAAAGACCTTCGGAGGAATATTCTGACATTTTCCGCATGCTTGCAGCTGCCTGGCCTGATGAGAACCCTAAACACCATGACTGCCCTACTGGAAAGACATGTTACTGTTGGCAGTCAGCTATTGCTCAGAAGAGGTTCCACAACACATAAGAGGAAAAGAGGCAGTTTTATCTCAGAGCAGATTTATTTAAATTTTTCGCATTTTTTTTCTTTGGGGGGTGGGCTAGAGAATCAGTTATATTTTTTCCACAGAAAGACTTTTTAAATATATTTTTGATGTATCATATTTTCAAGAAGCCAAGGTGATATAATAATATAACTTTATGCCACTTTAATTATTTGAAAAATAAATTATTTCAATAATAAAACTTCTTTTTGCATTTTCTCATTTGTGTCAATTTTACGAGGGTCAGGTTATTGGAAGCAGTGTATCTCAGAAACAACCTATCAGATTATAAAGAAATTTGCACCACATGTTCCTAACATGTTTATCTACAATGTGATAGAGGGTTTTTATTCTATTTTAAGAGACAAAAAAATTATTTTGAATTTTGATAGAACAGTTTACGTAAATGATGGATTATTTTTTGACATAATTTTAAAAAATTCACAAAAAAATTATTTTTTCAGTTATGCTAATTTCCTTCTATCACATTGTGCAATGTCCTATTTTTAATATTTATGCCAAGTTTCATTGAATTCTTATTGGTGGTTATTGAGCTACGCTGTTTCCTGTAAGTATATAAAATTGCTCAATTTTACCCCTATTTTCTCATCAAAAGCATAAAAAAAAATAATTAATTAGTCCCAATTGGTTTTTTTAAGTGTTTTTATTGCTTTTGCAATGTGATTAGCAAAAAATATTCTGTCTTAGTCATGTGTTTAAAATTTTAGCATTTTGACTACCTGTCCCCCCTTAACCATTTCAAACTGTTTCTCTTATACTACAAACATTAATAATATACTGTGTTTATTGATACCAGACCTTGACACAGTAATTATGTAAAAAAAAATGAGCTGGAATGAATTAGTTATCAATTTACTTTATTGTAATTTCCTTGCTAGGCATCTTGAGATAGGTTAATTTCTCATTTCAGCCATAACTGACAAGCCTAAATACTTTACTGTGGCCATGTATAAAACAGTTGACCCAGTCACACTGCAGAATTTTCAGTCTAAAACTGTCTGTTTCTCTGGTAAGTACCTGGAGTTTATTTGCTGTTGCACGGTTTTAGTGTTTAAATCTTTGTCAAGTAAGTGCATGTTTGCTATGTCATTTTGAAGCTAACATCTAATTGACTCACTTTTATGTCCCAGGTATTGGAATGAGTGCAGGCTGGGTGTATCCCATTGGCACACTGCTCAGGAATAGTTACATCAGTGTGGTCAACTGTAACGCCATCGTCAAGGCAGTGTCCAACTCATTTTCCAAGATGTGCCTACCAGGAGCCTTGACCTCATTTTATAATCCATTTGGTAAGATATCCATTCATGATTTAACATGGTTGATTTTTGATTGGATGTTTGTTTGTGCTTTCTTTTTTAGTTTTAAAGTTAAATTCGGCTTTATAATTTATACTATGATAAATTGCATTTCAATAACCAAATTTATCGTACTAAATTTTATTTATTTTAAAAGAAAAGAAATTAAGATTTTTTTTGTTTTGAAAAAACAAAATATATAAGTTGGTAATTCTAAATTGCATTTATTAAAAGAAATAAACATATAATTTGCTTTTGATTCAATATTAAGAAACTAGATTTGTCATTATTAATATATTACCTCAGGTAACAATCCCACCTCGGTCTGTGAACTCTGCACGGGACAAAATGAAGAGTTCTGCACAACGAGTGATCGCTTTGCAGGATACGACGGAGCATTTAAGTGTGTGGCTGATGGTCAAGGGCAGATAACTTTTCTCAGACATGACACCATCGAGCTGATGACTAGCTCAGAATACAACAGTAACACAACAGTCAATGCCTACTTACCTGAAGTAAGTCACACACAACCACCAATCCCTACTTATCTGAAGTAAATCATACACAATCACCAATCCCTACTTATCTGAAGTAAATCATACACAATCACCAATCCCTACTTACCTAAAGTAAGTCATACACAACCACCAATCCCTACTTACCTGAAGTAAGTCATACACAACCACCAATCCCTACTTACCTGATGTAAGTCATACACAACCACCAATCCCTACTTATCTGAAGTAAGTCATACACAACCACCAATCCCTACTTACCTGATTAAGTCATACTAAAAAGCCAAAAGTAAAGTCCTACCTCCTGTTTCTTTTTATCCATGTTCATTGTGCAGATACTACCATTAAGATAACTCAAGAACTCATGGGAAACAATTTACAAAATTTTTTTAAAGTTTGCATGTTTATGAAGAGAGGAACAGAGACACATTTTTTTTTATGTTGAATAAAATAAAATAATAAACTATCTTGTTAAAGTAAAATAAAAATTCTGTTAACAAATGGGGCCATTTTCAAAAACTCAATATTGTTTATATAAGGACTTGAGGTTGTGATGTGTCAGGGTTATCTCAGACTCAAAATAGGATATTATTTGATATTAATTCCATTGTCCATTTCATCCAGAACTACATGCTGTTGTGTCCTGATGGCACGTCTGCAACTGTTACAGAATTTGAAAAGTGTAACTGGGGGGAGGTCACCTCAAATGTCATAATGACATCTGCAGTTCGTGAACCTGAAATAGTCACTGGCTACAAAGATTTTCTCAAAACATTGGAACAGCTCTTTGGACCCACTGGGACCTACAGCAGTAGATTTAAAATCTTCAGATCTGAGACTAAGTACTCTACTGATCTTTTCAAGCAAACGCTGACAAGAAAAAATTTACTCTTTTCTGATATGACGAAGCGTTTAATGGATATGGGGACAGAAACGTACTACACCTGGGTTGGTAAGTACTATGATTCAGGATACAGAGGTTTTAATGGAGCTTTGGACATCATATTTTGATTTTCCTTTTTTATATGATAGAGCTACCGGTATTAATAAATTTAGTTATTTTGTGGAAAATCCCACTGGTACAAGTGCTAAGGCTGGTAAGACATGAGATCACTAGGTTAATGAGGACATTAGATCACTATTGTTAATGAGGACATGAGATCACTAAGTTAATGATAATTTACAAATCAAACTTTTTGTGATTGCAAGTAATCTGAGGGAAATAAATACATAAAGGGTGAAGCCGCTTTGTTCTTATCTTTTATAAAGAACGGATATAAAAATTGGAAGGTTTTGTCTATCTCTATGTCTCCATCACTAACAGGCGACAACTTTAACACAATGGTGACCGAGATGAATCGCTGTCCATCAGAGGTAATTCGCTGGTGTGTGACGTCCATGGCAGAGAAGCTCAAGTGTGAGGACATGATCATGGCTTTCAAGGCCAAGGAACTGCAACCAGAGATGGACTGTTTGTATGGCGGCAACTCCACCAACTGTATGGAGATGATCTGGCGAGGGGATGCTGACCTCATTAACTTGGATGCCGGGGACATCTATATAGCTGGACGGTGAGCTTACAATTAATCATGGTGCCAAGAGTAGCTGGACAGTAAACTTGTAATTAGCATAGCATGGGTGTCAAATGTAGCTTGCAACTTGCATCATTTATTTCTTCGTTACAGCGTAGTTCAAGTACGATGTTTTATTGTTTTAATTAAAACATCTTACACGTAGAATTGACATTTAAAACATGTTGCATTTATTCAAATATCTTGTTAGCTACTATATTAAAATTTTCTTTTTCACTATTTCTTAAAAGTTTTCACTTGGTGTTTCCTTTAATTGTGTACATGTAATTTATATTCTTTACATGTATTGAAAGCATTCGTCTGTAACATTATGTTCTGTAATTGTCATCCCTTGTAGTCGATATGGTCTCATTCCAATGGCAGCAGAAGATTACGGAGATATGTCTATGAAGTTTAAAGTTGTGGCAGCTGCCAGGAAGACTGATAAGTCCACAACTCTGTTTAATATGAAAGGTACTTAATGTCTATTTATTTTTAGCATGGACATCAGTTTAATTTGACATAAAACAATGATACAGATATTTTTTAAAAATAAAATACTATTCACGTTTTAGGTTATTTAAATAAAAGGTCATATTATTTACGTTATTTAATTTGGGGGTCTACAGGAAAATATTGTGACACAATTTAATTTTGTTGAAATTTTTTTCTTCTTCTTCAGGAAAACGATCTTGTCAGCCCGGCATTGGTCGTGGGGATGGATGGATTATACCCCTCAACATCTTCATAGAGACAGAACAGTTCCTACCAAAAGACTGCACCATCTTTAGAAATATCGGTCAGTTTATTAGTTATGTCAAATTAATTTTTTTTTTAAATGGTTGGAGTTTGTGATCTGTATTTATCGTCTCACTATAAATATTAATTCGTAACATGTAATACATAATGCATGATTGTAATTTATCAAAATATTTATTCCTCACTATTTTTGGGGGGTTAATTTTTCAGGTGAACTGTTTTCAAGAAGTTGCATCCCTGGGGCCCTTGATACAGAGTACAACCCAGATGGTCGTCCCATCAATTTGTGTGAGGGATGTGCCGCTGGAGGTTACCGCAAGTGTCAGCGAAACAGTGAGGAGCAGTACTATGGAGCTAGTGGTGCCTTCAGATGTCTAGTAGAAAGTAAGATTACTGTTTATCCCCTTTTCAACCCTGCCCCATTCACAATCTTTCTTTTTTTTGTTGTCCCCAGTACTTATTTAGAGCATTGGGAAAATGAATTTCTTTGTGGAATCTTATGCTACTGTATCTCTAATAGTTACATAAATTCTAAAAATAGTGAATCATTTAACTAATATTTTATTTTTGCTTTGATATCTTAGCTGGTAAGAAATTGTATTTATAATTTGATTTTAGTCTTCTGAATATGATTTGTTGTTTGTTAACTGTGTGCTCTTTCTGAAATCTTTTTCTCTGATTTCATTATCAGATGGAGGGGATGTGTCCTTTGTCCGCCACCTTACGGTCCGAGACAATACGGATGGTCGCAACCACGCCATTTGGGCTAGGAATCGCAGGTCTGATGACTATGAGCTGCTGTGTAAAGATGGGCGGCGTCTAAACATTGACCGCTTTATGGAGTGTCATCTGGGAGAAGTACCAGCTAATGCCATTGTTACCTCAGGTAAGAATTAACTATGTTAATGCCACTGTTACTTCAGGTAGAGAATGAACTACATTACCTGCTTTCCATTTAGCATGACGTTAAAACTCTCAATTACCTCAGGATGTCATGTCAATAAACACCTGTTTTGAATTCCTGTCATCCCAGAAAATAAACCATTTCAAAATTCTCCCAGTCACATTAGGATCAGAGATTTGGATTCTTAAAATGGTGGTATTTACATTGCTACTATTGATAAGGAGTTGATGTCACTTTTCTTGCTTATGATTATGGGTATCTTACAGCAGTCCCTTGAGGTTTTTTTCCTCATTTGTTTATTAGTTTTCAATATTTAATTCGTCTGGTGATTATTGTGTGTCCACAGCTGGAAAGTCCCCAATACAAAAAGAAATCATGTGGAATTTGCTCAACTACGGCCAACAGTTTTTCTCCTCTGATATGTGAGTACTTAATTTGAAAGCTTTCTGTTGCCTAGGATTTCTATGGAATCAATAGATGTTGTGCTTGCCTCATTTTCAAAGTCACTCTATAAATAACACAGTCATAAGTCATACCATAAATAAGGTAGACACTGCTCGTTTGTCACACTATTGACATCATAAAATTCTGCAACTAACATGGTTCACTTCACTAAACTACTTACTGTATGGGACAAGATGTACTTTTAACTGTCTTAAGTTTCAAATAAACCACTTCAATAAAAACAATACATTATTTTTGACACCTGCTATATACCTTACTTATACTCATTACTAATACTCCTTACTTATACTCCTTACTGTGCCATACATGATGTACCAATACTTAAACTATGTTTTTGCTGATTAGCTGCCAGATTGAAAATCAGGTTGTGGCTGGATTAAATTTATGTAACATTTTCTCATTGAAGGTGCATGTACAAATTCAGCTGCAGTTTTCTTAATTATAAACATATTCTAATGAGTAATACACCATTTTCTAGATAAATGAATTGTCTATAACATAAACATAAAACTTTTGTAAAGTTAAGTTTTGTTAGTTTTTGCAAATTAGTAATTTCCTCACTACCCTATTTCTCCTAGTGGCATATTAGTTAATGTTTAAAACCACTTGTCTTTAATGTGCATGGACATGCTCACTGTTTCCAATTCTTTCCTTCAGTGATGGAGACTTCCACATGTTTGACTCGGGCATCTGGTACACGGATCTCATCTTTACAGATGCTGCCGTGCGGCTGATGAAAATACCAGAGGACAGACAAAATTATAAAGATTGGCTGGGGGAGTCGTTCATTGCCCAGATTGAGAACCTCCATAGATACACATGTGTCAATCCTGACAGTGCAGGCACGATAAGGCCCAGTTTTCTCATAGCATTGTTACTTACCACACTCACTCTTTTGTTTACACAACTCTAACTGTTGATCTCAATAAAACTGTTCAGACTTTTCAAGGGTTTTGTAACCATAATCTCAATCAAACTTTCATTGAACAAAGAATATCTGGCATTGATCTAATTGGTTGCCAGACTAAAGGCCAAGGTTGTCATATAAATTTAACCAAGATTATGTTTTAGATAGTTCTCAATTTTGCTGTCAATGGTGTCTTTGGTTTTAAGAATTCTCACTAGAGTTTAAACATAGGAAAGAAATGACACAGAGGTCAAACCTGCCCAAATTGTGTGCCTCAATGTAAATAAAAAATCCTGTATAAATGAAATGATATTTTTCATGTTTTTAACAAGTTGTTTTCATTGTATGTTTTGACTGTTACACAATTTTAAGTTTTATTATTTTTTTGTAATATACATTTATTTACTTTAAAATATTCAGCTCATGTATCATGTCTTGAAAGATTCCAACTTCCAACAATAGATCCCGTGTCTGTAACTCCTCAGTCACCGAAGGGTTTTCAAACTCTGGTATTATTTTAAGTAAACACATTTCCAAAATTCAAATATCCTGAAACTGCTATAAAATTCTTTTGAATCCTAACTTTTTGAATCGAGTTCATTTTAAGTCAACTTTTTCTTGAACACATTGATCACTACGCCAATGTTACGTCATTTAATCATCAATCATTTCAGTCATATGCTATTTTTTAATGTATGACTTTACTAGCATAATTTATACATCCTGGTATGGTAGCTGATTCCATTTTTTTGGGGGGTAAAACATGCTTCTTATTTTCCAATAGAAGTTAATGACATTTCATTAGAAATAGAATGTCTTAGAAATTTACTTTGCTATTCTATGTTATCATTTTATCTTAATGTTCACTTATCCCCCCCCCCACCCCGCTTTAGAAAGAAGCAATAGATTTAAGAGTAAAACATTTTCATAAACACAAATATTGCTGTGTTTAATGTATGTGTGTGTGACCTGTGCCAGATTGTGTGTGCCTGTAGCTGGGATGGAAAATGAGGGTATGTTGTGTTATGGACTGACACCTTTCTTTAGTGATGATGGAACATTGTATTGTAAGTGTATAAAAATAACATGAATGATGTAACAGAAGTGTGACTTGTATCCAATGTTGGATAACTCTGCAATTTTAAAATATGCATAAGCAATTATTAACTTTTTATTATGAGAAATCAATTATTAAGTAAGTGTAAATATATAATTTAGCATATCAGTTTATCAGATATTTCAAATGTATAAAAAAAAAAATTTCAACCTCTTTCATGATAAAATAAACTACATTCCTTGACAATTCTTTCTTTAATTCCAGCAGATGTATTTGTCTCAAATTAGCAGCATGACAAAGCCAATATTTTTATAGCTCTTGTGACATTCCATTATATCTATAGATCAAATAAACACAAACTGATTTTATCATCCATCTTTCTTATTATTTTAAATATTAATTTTTTTCATATAAGTATTTATAAGCAATACTTGTAATGATGTGAAAAGAGGTTAAGAACTATTAGGCCTAACTTAGGGTCCGTATGTCTGACTCAAGATTCAGCCTTAAGTAATCCTGACCATAAATCCTATTACCGTATTTTGGCGTTCAGATTTTTAAATAAATTTTTTTTTTCAAAATTGATTCTTCCGTTAACGATGCAAATCCTATTTTTTACTTTACAGAGATGATAAATAATGTTTTATTAATAAATAACCTATACATCCTGGCATCGCCTTGTGTCAGCCATTTTATTTTAATCTCATTTAAGATTTTAAACTGGACCCAGGGCTTCTCACAATCAGTTTGTTCAAAGGCAGGGGAGGGGGGGGATTGGCAGTGCCAGGAGTGTTCTAAGGTGGGGTGGGGGGGATTGGCAGTGCCAGTAGTGTTCTAAGAGGGGGGGGGATTGGCGGG